AAATTTTTTTTAAGCTTTATTCTGACCGATTCACCCGATTCCCGATCCGGATCGCCGATTTGCCGATCCGGATCAGTTTTTTGGAAACCCGATCCGGGTACCGATCCTTTTTTTAAACCATTGGATGAAACCCTTGCTTGTGACAGGTTCTAGACAAATAACATTGCACTTTTCATTAAAATTTATTTGGGTATGGAATCGGCAACAATTAAAAGCATTTAGATGATTTGGGCCGCCATTACTTAATGAGTCAAGCCACTAATATACTTTGGGCCTGGCTCCGAAACAAGTAAGGGCATTTAGATCATTTGGGCCCACATGTGTTGTGGGCCAAATTGCTAGTATCATCATGCTTGTGAATGGTCCGAGAGTCAAAAAAGGGCTATTTGATGTATTTGGTAATTCTAAGAGTCTTGGTTTCATATCACTGATCTGAATTTGAATTGCTCCATTCCCATTGGGATTAGGAGGGGGCTGATCCCGAACCTCAAAATCACCCTAACCCTTTCGAGCTTTTTGTCTTCTTTTTTAAATAAAAGCCTATTACCCATGTCAAATTGGGCGAACCACAAATAAATCTCAGGCAAGTCAGAGCCCAGTTATCGGTTTTTCATTATTAACAATAAATAAACAACAACAATAATAATAATAACAATAACAATAGTAAATCTCATATAAAAACTTTCCAATTTGGTCATCTTGATCTCAAGATGTATGGATATGAAGAAAAGAGAAATTCAGGACGTATTAATAATACATATTGTAAAAAATTATTTAGACAGTCTATTTTCAAGATTGTCAAGTGTATAGATATGCTTGATCTATATCATTTTTCAAAATTAAAATTTCACAACTAGGAATAATAATAATAAAATTTTGAGCCATCATAAAAATTTCAACTCTAGAACTATATCTCCTTTCAAAATTCAAAATTGCTCTCCTTTAGAGGGGGCCTTGTACAAAACTGACTAGGGGTGGTAATGGACCCGATAAGACCCAGGACCCAATCAACCTTGAGGGCCGGGTATGGTTCCAAAGTTTAGACCCTAAAGACCGAGTCCAAAACCTGGACGCGAATCCCATTCTGGTCCAGGTCTGGGTCCAACTGGACCCGACTGAATAATATGGACTGGTAAAATGCACGTTCGTTGCATGTGATATTAATACTAATCATTGAAATATATTTATCATTTAAAATTTTCAATAAAACATGGTCTTAGAGAGAATTTAATGCGTTTATCTTCCCAATTGAATATTTTATTAATTGATAATAAATATTACTTTTAATATATCATTGATTAACACATATCCATTTGACATACAATTAAAATAATAAATATGATCTAAATAAATATTTTAAATTATATAAATATAACTAATAGAAAAATTATGCAAGGTCTTACAAATGCTAATAATCCAATAAAATGCTCATAATCCAATATATTAGTTTAAGACATTAGGTCCTATTAATGTCATATCTAATATATGAGTCCATTAAGGCATACTCAAGAAGCATTGACATTATTATAAACAAAATAGTGATAAGAATTTATATATATTGATCAATACCTAATTTCAAGAATAAGAAAGATTTAAGGACAATGGGACTGTGAGATATAAGGACAGAGTGAGTGAAGGAGAGATTTGGGGGTGAGAGGTGAGATTAACACATTTATTTTCTTAACTCACATGTTTCACATTAAAAATAGACATGAAAAATAGCCAATTGAGATGGATAAATTATCATAAGTAATATATATATATATATATATATGTTTTTTATTGAGTCGAGGCTTTTTGTTGTGCATGGGGAAATAATAAGTTGAATGTGAGAGACATAAATTATACTCAATAAAAAATGCATACCTATTAATTAGGGATGTGCATTTTCAATAGGTCATATTTTTTCTATTGCATTAACGAAAGAAGTATAAACTTTATTTAAATGAAAAATAGTAAGAAAAAAGTTAGAGGAGATGAGTTCACAAGATATCAGTTAAATAATTTTTAATAATTTAAAATTCATAATTAGAAAATAAAAGATATTCAAATATATGAAAAAAACAAAGAATCAAAATTTATATATGTTGAATCACAATAAAAAATTATAGCATTGTCATTAAAAAACTAATGTAATGTTAAAATAGTCATAAAAACTTTTAAAATTCAAATATTATAGTTAAAATATGCAAAGATTAAAATTGAGATAAAAATAAAATTATAATTTTATTTTGTTACTATTGTTAATATTAGTATTGTTATTATTATTGTTTTATTTTTTTTGGAATAAAATAATAATAAAAAGAGTAAATTATTATTATTATTTTATTTTTATCTGATAAGATAAGGTATGTTGATCTTGAATACTAAAAAAAAATGTATTTCTATCTCAATTTTTCCCTTTAATTTTGTTTCATCATAAAGAGTTCAAAAGAGACAATAATACACCTAGAAAATAGCAAGAGAAAGCTATTACTGTCATAAAAAAAATCTAATGTAATGTTAAAATATACATAAAAAATTATAATATAACAAAATGTAGTTAAAATAACAAAGGGTGAAATTGAGATAGAAACAAATTGATATAATCTGACATAAGAATCAAGAAGGAAACAAAAATCATTTTTTCATTAGCATTTAAGATCCATGGGGTTTACCTTTTACAATAAAAATAACTTATAAAATAAAACTAAAAATGTTATTTCATAATAGATGTATAATACAACTGGAAAATAGCATGATAAAACTAGAAGAGACAATAACATAAATAAATAACTTATGAGCAATCAAAATAAAAATAAATAAATAATAATAATAATATAATAATAAGTGATAATAAATATTATTTTATTACTATGTTCAAGTTTATAATAAAAATTAAAACTATTAAATAATTTAAATCCTTAGTTTTTTCAATCTAATTAAGTTTCATGACCGATGAGAGAGATATTAAAGCACTTATTTTCTATATAATCATATTACAATTTGAAAAATGTACTACATAGAGATAGAGACAAACATCGTACCTTATACTTTTCTCTTAGAAAAATATTTTCGAGTTAAAAAACCCTTGTGATAGATAAGTAAATAAATGAACTTGAGGCAGAGATATAAATACATTATTTTCTCATGGAAAAAAGTGAGGCGCATAAGCTTTTTGTACTTGGGAGTGATGGTACATGGTGAAAGAGGATGAAAGAGGTTTTTTGTAAAAAGATATTTTGGGTAGAAAAGATCGAGAGAAAAATTAATGGAAAAAGAGATGAGTGAAATATGAGAGATATTATGAGAGGGATTTAAGATGAGAATTATCTAATAGGGATATCAATTGCAAGCATGGCAAGCTAGATAAAATAGAAAAAAAAGCAGCACATAAAAAAAAAAGAGCTAACATGGTAAGGAGAGAGCAGTAATGAGTTTCCTTATTTTAAGTTATCACATTTAAAACAATTAAGTACTTACAATTAATGCAACATAGAGAAAATAAAGAGAAGGAGAGTTATGATAAATAGAAAGTTGGGAGATTTTAAAAAAGTCGTGAAAGATAAAGAAAGGTAGATTATATGAGGGAGAGACCTTTGAAAGGGAGAGAGATTTTTTTAAAGAGGGAGAGAGAGATAGAAATCCTAGATGTTATAAATAAAGGAGAGATTAGAATTTTTTACACTCATGTATATAGGATCTCAAATGATCACCGTTAAATTTAACACAGATTAAGTCAAGTCCTATATATATGTGATAATGTTTTTAGAGATTTGTGTGAAATTTAATGATGATCATTTACGGTCCTATACACATGAGTGAAAGAGGATCTTAAAGGATCATTTCTCTTTTAAGAATTTTAAGTTATTATGTAAAACGGTAACGATGTGGGTATTCATAAATGTTGTGCAACAGTGTAAATGTTACCAATGATATGGGTATACAATGGTAAAAAAAAAAAAACGAAAAAATAATCAAAATCATAATCATAGAGTGACAATAGATCCGACCGCTTCCAAGAACTAACAAGTAAACCGGGGACCCAACAGCACTGGATATAAAGTCTAAATTTTGAACCCAAATGATCGAGTTGATCCAAAACCTAAATCTTAATACTATTCAATTTCAGGTCGAGCCGGACCCGACCCGTTGCCACCCCTAAAATTCACGGTGGTGATGATGAGGATATAATAAGAGAGAGAGGGAAGTGAAGATGATGAGAGTTCTACATAATGCATAAAAAACAAAAGAGTGAGGTGTTGGTTTTAAGCGACCGGAACGCAGTATTTGCCGCCTATAAAATACCCTTCTCCTTCCGCATATTCACCGCGTCATCCCTTTTCTCTCCCTCTCTTCCTTTCTCTCTCTAGAAATTGTCTTCTCTTTCTCTCTCTCTCTCTCTCTCTAAAGACAGATCCAAGAAATGAAGTGCGCTAGACTCGCATTCAATCTTTCCCTCTCTCCTGATCTCCTTTCTCTGAGAAAATAAACCCTAGAATTCATTCCACCTCCTCCATTATCTTCTTCGAAGAAATTACCCGCCATTCTTTTCTTCCCAATGGAGTGGAGTTCTGGGGTTTCAAGCCCTTGAAATCAGAGTCTCTGATCCCCATTCCGTAATTCTCATCGAATTAATCATCTATTTGAAGCTCTGCAAATTCCTTTAGTATTTGAATCCGAATTGAAGCTCTGGATCATTGGGAATTCAGTTCCTGCAAGTTTTTATATTCGTGTTTCAGTAGGATTGGGGCTGGATCTGAGGCCTTCTGTATTGGTTGGGGTTTTTCTGGGCGGAAAATGATGGGTAATTTGGTTCGTTTGTGCAAGATCTGGGGTTGATTCCGTCTATGAACTCTTGACTGGATTATTTCTACTGATTTTCATTGCCATTTTATAGGTAACTTGCTGGTCCTTCTCACTGTTCTTTACAGCGTCGAAGTTTTTAGCTGGTCTTGAAACGTTTAGTTTCTTTAAATCGCAAAGTCAAGTCATGGTTTCTTTATACAGTATATGTTTCTGTTTATTGATGGTAACTGGATGCTTTATTTTCGTTTATATAGCAATATAGAGAAATATCGTTTTGATCATGTGCATGGACGGTGCAGATCTATTGAAATTTCATGATATTTAAATCTGGATGGTTTATCAATGTCTTACCGTTTGCTGGTGTAACTTTCCTCATCTCAAATGCTCACCAATTTAGTTTTTTGCGATCCAATATTGTTATGACCATTCTCTGTCGAATTCTTTGCATCTTTTCATTCATGTATTATTTGTTTTCCTGCTGTTTTACCCTTGTATTGATTATTTGGTAATTTGTGGTGTATTTGGTATGCATTGTTTTTCATTTTTTATGTCTTTTCTTCTTCTTCTTTTTTTTACTTATAAAAGAGAGAGATTCTTTTTTTACTTATAAAAGAGAGAGATATGCTTTCCTGAGGCATATGAAAATCTTGGTTTTGATGGTTCATTTGTTTGGATCATGCTCCTCATGGATGAAACTATAAAATGCATTGTCGTCAATTGTTATGTGATGCCCAGGGAGGTTGTTATGCCAATTTCATTGCAATATGAAAAAATTAAGGTTATGCCAATTCAATACATACTGAAATGTTTATTTTATTTCTTATTCTTTTTAAAACATAAAAATTTGGGAGCATTCGCAGTGATTTTCTTCCTGATCTGGTATGTAGTCTGTCAAAATGTTATCAGAGTCACGATTCCCTTTTTCTTCTTTTGATTTTTTTTTCACCTTAATTTGAATGGACGACCTTTAAGGATATGCATTAATATCTGCATACCCACCCAAGAACCATCAATTTCCAATTGAAGGAATTTGTTTCTAATTCTCAAAATAGAGTTTTTGAATATGATTGTATGAAAATTTGAGCTTTAGGGGTTCACTAAGGTTTTGGGTGTGCCAAGGTCTCTTATTCTTAGCTGTTGATTGTGCGTGTATTGCAGTTGGCTCTGTGGTGATGCTTTTTTCGCATGAACTCCTCTCCTTGGTTAAGTTTGTGCTTGAGCGCTTTACATAGTGCCCTGTGAGTGGTGTATGAACTCACAATTAACAATGAAAAACGGGATGGTAGAGTGCAGTGTCTGCCATTCCAAACTTGGGTTGTCACCGACTACAAGGACAGTTTCTAGGGCATATGATCGTCATAGGAGCAAGATATCCTCAAAAACTCGAGCTCTTAATGTCTTGTTGGTTGTGGGGGATTGTATGTTAGTTGGTCTCCAGGTATGGCCTTATCAATCTCTTTGGTGAATTTGGTTACATGATCGTTTTGCAATTACTCCTACATGCATGAAAATAAATTTTTGGATTGTAATGCACTATCTCATATCATTTTGATTTGTCATTAACTTTTGAGAGAGAGAGAGAGAGAGAGAATTTGACATATTGCATGATGGTCATGTCTTCAGCTTGCAAGAATTTGACATTGGTGTTTGTCTGCAGCCTATTTTGGTCTTTATGTCAAAGGTGGATGGGAAATTCATGTTTAGTCCTGTCAGTGTCAACTTTTTGACAGAAGCTGCTAAAGTTGTTTTTGCTATTATCATGCTCTTGTTCCAGGTAGCTATGATTTATTCTATCTGTATTTTGTACTGCTTCTTGTGTTATCCTGTTGCTGGCTACAACTTAAGTGTTTTTTTTTCCTTACAAATTTCCCATCGTGGTATCCATTCCTACCGCTGACACCCCCAATTAATACCTGCAAAATGTAACTCCCTAATCTATTGAAAAAACTGGCACCCCCAATTAACACCTTCAAAATGTAACTCCCTAATCTATTGAAAAAACTGGCACCCCCAATTAACACCTTCAAAATGTAACTCCCTAATCTATTGAAAAAACTGGTACCCCCAATTAACACCTTCAAAATGTAACTCCCTAATCTATTGAAAAAACGGGCAGGGGTCTGTTTTCCCCACTGAATTACCCCAAAAAAAAAAAAAGTGACTGACACAACTTTTGTAGTAAAAGACCAAATGAATGCTTACTTGGCTACTCTTTGTAAAATATATTCCTTTTGAAGACTTTGTAGTCTTCCAGCTCAAATAAAATAACAAAGTGAAAATTTGTGGGATAAAGATAACTTTGTAGACTTATCATATGTCACATAGGGCATGGTTTTTGTATACTTATCATATGTCACATAGGGCATGGTTTTTATATTTACTGTGTTATGTTTCTCGGGCTCCTGCAGGCTCGGCATCAAAAGGTGGGAGAAAAACCTCTTCTTTCAATATCTACTTTTGTACAGGTTAGTTTTCTTTCTTCATTTTTGTTATTATTGTTTTTCTCCTGATTATTATGAAGTTCTAGGTCATATTTCTTGTCTTTCAATGCTTTATTTGTTTAAACTTAAACTGCAGCACATTATCTAGTTCATGTTCCGTTTAATTCTAGTTGAGGACTTTGGGAGTAACACCTTGGGGCTTACCATAAGAGCCTCAGCTTTCTCATGTTTATGCTTTGAGGATTCCATATCTAACAACCAAGCATTCAAGGCTTTCCGACATTTAAGGCTTCCACCTTGGGGAGAGTGGGGTGCCTAATGGCAATCCCCTTGAGGAGTCAATGTTCCTAGATTCATGTAGATCTCTGTGAGAGGACCTCATGTGAAGAGAACTGGGGTCTCTAGATCCACTACTTTGTCATTGTACTAGACATGACGATCTCATGTCCAAAGATCCAAAAACCTTGCCAACTTGTCAACCCCCATCTCTCAATCAGGTTTTAAAAGCAAGGACTTGGGTCAGGATTCGCTTAGGTCCCAAGCAGAGGTCAGGCAACTTGACTCGGCCGAGTCCTAAAAGTGTTAACAACAGATATTGGGAACTGGTGAGACTTGGTTGGTTTCCTTGGTTCAGTTCCAGACTCGGCAGCTTGCAGAGTCTACTTTGAGTAACTCAGGCGAGTCTGAGTTTGCATCCTGAGTTTTCCGACACTGCCACAAATCCTACAAAACCTGGGACACCACACTCCACTGCTTTCTCCACCTCCTTTCAAAGCAACTTTGTGAATGTCTTCTTTATTCCCTTACATAGTTGTTCGGTGCAGGTGCATTCTCGAGAGCGGGAGCTGCCTTGGGTCTGCAGAGCCTTGGATTGCTGGAAGCTCCTTGTGGTTAGGATTGCCGTACGTACGATCCTATATCAAGGGAGTGGGATCCTTGTCATAGGGAAGCGCGATTCCATGAGGAAGGAATCACAGTAGTAAGTTCTAAGGGATTGCAATTGATGCGTGGGTTCACAGTACCATTGGGCACATACTTGAATCCATGCATACGAATCAATACCGAATAGAGAAAACATCATATGCATTGAATGATACCCTTGAGAACTGCTGTTCAAACCCTCTGGGAACGAGGATCACAATATAGGGATCCGTGTTCCATCTTGCTGGAATCATGGGATCGAGGTTCTGGAGCGGGTCCGTGACCTTTCCTACAAGGTTTTAGCGACTACGGTCCCTTAGTGTGATGAGCTACTCTTAAGAAATGTAGTATTCACTATTTCACTTCTCGTCTTTAGTGTTGTCTTGGTGTGCTTGTTTTGTCGGTGTCATCAGAGGTGAATGTGGTTCCAGAGTTTCCATGCATATGCAAATGTGCTAACTTTTATGGTTCTTGTGGTTATCAAGGGAGGATTTTCCTCTTCCTGGCACCTTAGAAATATTCTAGCTAAATTTCTGTTATTATGGTATCCCTTTTGATGGAGAATAATCATCCTGCTGGCATCCCTTTAGTTGGAAAATATTAATCCAATGCTTCAAGCTAATGAGTTGGGAGGCCATCTATCCTTGGAAATTTCCCTTTGATAAATCGAAGTCAACATCTGAGATGTATACTTGCAAAAGTGAAGTGTATGACAATCTTATCAACCTTCTTTTTGTATTATGGGCTGTTCTTCTAGATGGCTTGGTGGCCATCTGATGTGAGCTGAGGTTGATGAGGATAGCTTTTTGCTTTTTTCAATCAAACAAAGATTGAGATGATCTTTTTCTCTTATTTTTGTAGTTCTATCTTTAATGAAAATAGGTTTTGAGAATGTTTCTTTAATGAAAATTGTTATATATAAACAATGTTGTCTATGCGTTGACTCTTTAGTTGTCTTTTCCCTCCATACTTTTATCCATTTGATTTATTATAAAAGGCCTACCAATTATTATTTTAGAAAGCTACACATCAATGTTTTCTTGTGTTATTGTTCTTAAGTTTCCTTTCAAGCTCTCTAATTTTCATGACTTCTTATTTCTTGTTCCCATGCAGGCAGCTCGTAACAATGTCCTTCTTGCTGTGCCAGCTCTTCTATATGCTATAAACAACTATCTAAAGTTTATAATGCAGGTAAAGTTGGTGTCCAAGCCACCATTACTTTACATAGTATTTTGTACTATCTTCACTTTCTGTTCATCTTGAATAATATGTTTAAGTGATCTTGAGATGCTGAAAGCTTTTAGAAGAAATTAATAAGCTCAAGTCACTTGCTTTATGGCCTATAACATAACCTATCTTGTATCATCACCGTCAAAGCCTTTTGCCAACTAATTGGGATTGGCTATAACCTATCTAGTATAACCGATCTAATTTGTGAAAAATCCCTTTGTTTGTGCAGCTATATTTTAATCCAGCGACCGTAAAGATGCTGAGCAACCTAAAGGTAGCTTTGTTATAAATCTTCTTTGTTGTTGTGTTCAATCTTTGCTCGTTTCCTTTTTGATGAAGATGTTGTTGTTAGTCATTGCTACACTATGTCAGAGTGCATGCATTCTTTAGAGATTAAATTAATTGCAGGAGATGTAAATTGTTAGAAAGCTTTCTGGACTTGGGACTCATAAGGGTTAAAACTCTGTCTACCCTAATTTCCCAGTAGGGGTGAGAATTTTTCAGATTGGGTCTGGATTCACCCAGATTAAGATCCGGATACGAAAAGTATACATGGGATCCGCATCTGATCGGATCCAGAGTGTTTATATCCGGATTGGGATCCAATAACTATACATGGGATTTGGATCCAAAAAGTAGATATGGAATCCAGATTAGGTCTCCTAAAAGTTCAAAAAATTATATATATATATATATATAGGAAACCTCTTCCCAATGCCTATAGGTGAAAATGAACAGTGATCTCGCTTACCCTCATCACTATCTAAATTTCATCGCACGGTCACAGTTGTCTGGTAGTGTTTCAATTTTCATTTTTTTTTTATAAATCCAAATTATTTGAAATTTGGAGCGTGTGTACATCTTAGTGAGGCA